TTTTTTTCTGTTTCTTCGTGGGGTCGTGTATGCCGGGTTTTGAGACCACGGGCTCCCAATCTTTTTTTTTTAGAGCTAATGTGAGAAACAACAAAAACAAAACAACAACAACAATATGTAGGACTCATTTCTACTGTCACTTACATCGTAAAAATATCTCCTCTTCAATTTCAAATAAAACTAATGACAATCATCATGGTATCCTACATGCCTGGTCGGCGGGAACCCGGCACGGAACCCTCCGGCGTTGTAGGCGGGTGTGGGAAGCGTTCCCCGTTCTCCTTTTATTTTATTTTGATCGGTCTCCTCGACGCTCTTTCTCGTTTGGTGCGGTAGCTGGTCTTTCTTTCTATCATTTTGTTTCTCTTCCGAGTGGTTTTTGTACCCTATTTTTTTCTGTTTCTTCGTGGGGTCGTGTATGCCGGGTTTTGAGACCACGGGCTCCCAATCTTTTTTTTTAGAGCTAATGTGAGAAACAACAACAAACAACAACAACACATGCGTTCGTAAGATTGCTAAAATACTACTGCGTTGATGTCCTCTTGTAAAAGCTGAAATCCAACAAAAAAGACATCGTAACAAATGGCCTAACTGTTTCCATTTATTTTCTTGTCTTTCTCTTTTTCTCTCTTTTGCTGTGCCTTGTTTCTGCTTGCGTTGTGAAGTACCAAGATTGAACCAAGGGGGTGTACCTCATTCTCTCCGGCCCGTGATGGTGACCCCTAGTTTCAGTTGTTACCTCGCATAGCGCGCAGAGGGAGTGGAGGACTCCAGAATACCTGTCGTTGATTTCTGTTGACTTGCGGACCCCTCGGGGCCATTATATTTGAGTGTACCTTTTTAAGGCAAGTTAGCCTGCGACCACGGGAATCGACCGCGTCGAGTGTTGTATCAGTACGGACATTCGAAGATACTGGGTAGAGAGAGAGATCGGAATGGTTTTTAATGTGAAACAACAACAACAACTTACTCCGCAGGTAGGTGCGGCCAATTTGTAGACGCACCTTCATCAGCCTCGGGCTAATGCACTCCACCGTCCTACCTCCCTCGCCTACGCTGTCCCACATGGTCTCCTTAATCGCTATGCCCACACCGTGCACGCCCCTCTTGTCCTTGGTGCCGGCACGGGCACCACTCCAGATGATCACGTACCCGTCGTGTGTAATCGCGCCTTGTCCCGCTCGTCGGGTCTCTTGGAGTCCTATCACATCACAGTCGGTCGCGGCACAGATCTGCATGACCGTCATCACGTTGTGGCCGATGGNGACGGGCGCCACTCCAGATGGTCACGAACCCGTCGTGTGCAATTGAACCTTTTGCCCCTCTCGTCGGGTCTCCTGAAGTCCTATCACATCACAGCCGGTCGCGGAACCCTTTTTTTGGTTTTTCCATCATTGGATCTGTCGTCTGCCCCTCGTCTGGCCGTTATCCTCCACTTCTACCAGCTAGACGACCCAACCGGGGTCATATAGGAGGGGGGGGGTTGACCCCTCCTGCGGTTCCTGCCTGAGATTTTTATCGCGAGAAGGGTCCAGCAATCCCTTCCCTCGCGACTTCAGAAGTCGATCAAGTTTACTAACAACGAGATATATATGCAGCGGTGGTTCCACAAGCTCCTTAACACCAAGTCGCCGACCATCGACCTGCATGCGACCGACAGAGTCAAGCAGTGGCCCACGTGCGTTCCGCTCGACGACATCCCGTCTCTATTCGAGGTTGAGGAGGCGGTGCGGGGAATGGCCAACAGGAAGGCCGTCGGGCCGGACGACCTACCGGCTGAGCTGATCAAGCTGTTCCTGGATGGAGACCGAGGCTTCCTCCGCGAATTCCACGCCATCGTCGTGGACGTGTGGCAGACGGGGAACGTACCGCAGCAGTGGAAGGACGCCACCATCAAGGTTCTGTTCAAGAAGGGGGACACGATGGAGTGCGGCAACTACCGGGGCATCTCTCTCGTTGCACACGCCGGCAAGGTGCTGCTTAAGGTCGTTGCAACACGCCTAAGCCACTACTGCGAGCGAGAGGGCATCCTCCCGGAGGAGCAGAGCGGTTTCCGCCCACACCGGTCGACGCTCGACATGCTGTTCGCGATCCAGCGGCTCCATGAGCTCGCGAGGAAGAAGAGTACTGCGGT